GGGAAGTGCATAGCTATATCTTTGATTTTTCATTTCTCTTTCATTAAGTTGAGCTGTGGATGCTGGTGATTTTGATAATGAGTTTTAAAAAGGAAGAGTTGCTGAAACAAATTGAACTCTTAAAAGGCCCCATCCTCCCACTCATTAAAATTTTAGCTCTACTTACACAATGCTTGATTTTGAGAATAAATCAATATCTTAACATGAATGTTGGAAGCCAGTTTTATTTGATAAATATTTATTAATCACTTCCTGTGAAGTGATTAATAAATATCTGAAGGACAGTAATCACAAAAAGGACAAAACTCATCCTTGAACTGTGTGGGGCAAGGCCAGTCTTTTCGTTGTATAGATACTTCCATAATAAATACCTACATGAGGAATTATACTATAAGGCACATGAGTGGTGCAAAATATTGTGGGGATTCAGAGATGGTAAATATTATGAGCATGCTTTTCCTGAAGAAGTTGCTTTAAAGCTAGGATGTGAAGGAGGTGGGATTTCTGTGAGGTATTTGAGGTGGAAGGGGGTGATGTGAGCAGACGGCTAAGGAAAAAAGAAAGGTGTGTATAAGTAGTCTGCTGTGGTTGTCAGCTAAGATATGTTTCTGGGGAGAAGGAATTTTGGAGATGTTATTTGGGGTTGTATTGTGGGTTTTATTTAATGCCATCCTAGACAATTGTTGTGGCAATGCAAATGGAAAAGAAGGGATTAGTTCAAAAGGTTTTCTCAGAGAGAACTTATAGGACTTGGCAACTAGTAGAAAGGTCTGGTGAAGGAGGGGTCAAGGATGATGTCAGGCTTTTAAGTCGAGGGAATTTTGGAGAGGGCAGATGGAAATCAGGAGAGCTGGATTTCATTCTGGCCTGTTTTGCAGAGGCAAGGATTATTGTGGGAATTGTTATGAACATTTTTTACTTCCTCAGCTTCAGGAATACTGTTTTGTATGACTATGTTTTATATATAGGGTGTGTATTTAAGAGAGGTGATGGCTCCCTAAAGAAATCATGGAGAAAATGCCCTTTAACAGCTTTGCTATATAATGCATTCATTGTGTCTAAGTGAGTTATTCCAAGAACCTTTTAGTCAGTCTCAAGTTGTTTGAAAATGGGAAAAGGGAGAAATTGTAGGCATACTGATGTTGGCACTGGGTTTTTCATACTGGAAGTCTTTTTTATTTCTGAACTGTTCTTGAAAACATGGAGGCTCCCCAGGTTTTCTGGAATCCCAATGCCCCAGACCAGGACTGCAGATGCTCAGTGCATCCACTAAGGGTGTCAGTCTTCAGGAGAGGTGTGTGGTCTGTATAGTACAGTACTGTATTCCATAGACCAGTAGCATGAACACACTTTTTTTCTCTTCCTTGTAGATGCTCTCCATGATGGCCTGAACCCTGTCTGTGACTGTTGAATCCCTAGCACTTGGCATAATGCCTGATACACATTAGACTAAAAAAGTATAAATGAAGTGATGATACATTCCTCCCATAGTTGTGGCTATCACATCTGTCCTGTTTATCAATAACCCTGTGATATACAGATTTTGAACTAACAAATAAATTTTGAAAGATAATGTGATGGCTATTTATTAGAGAAAATTTGAATAGAGGGTCCAATATATGTGATTTACCATTTATATGTTTTAATACGTGAAACCCACTGTTGAATGCTTTTATCTAGATTGTCTACTGACACCACACTTGGTCTTTGACATCCATGAGTTGCAGTCTGAGCAAGCTATACTTTTTACATTGACAGCCGTAAGTCACTATTTTATACTGAATTTTGAGCAATAGCTCATGTGTGAAAATTGAGGCATGACAGAATGGTGTCAGACAGCAGTCTAGCAGAGTCAGCATTACCATCTTTGCCTCTGTCATCTTGAACCCAGCACTCATCCAAGCTGAGGCCAAAGATGTATGAAGAATTTCCATCTTTATCCTAATTGTATTATGTTTCTGAAATCTAACATTGATTGTTCATTTTTTATTTCCCCTTATTTCCAGAAGTACTATCCATTTTGTAAAAAATCTTTCAGGCCAAAGCATAATATATCATTAAATAAAAATTATTTTATAATTTTTTATAGAATTATGTTTTTCTTTTTCATTTTTAAAGTTTTTATATATTTTTATTTTTATTTTGAGATGGGGTCTCTCTGTGTTGCCTAGGCTAGAGTATGGTGGTGTGATCACAGCTCTGGCTTCTCAGTCTCCCTGGCTGAAGCAATCCTGCCACCTTAACCTCTCAAGTAGCTGGGACTATAGGCACATGCCAACATGCCTGGCTAATTTTTCTTTTGGTAGAGGTGGGGTCTTGCTGTGTTGCTCAGGCTGGTCTCTAACTGAACTCAAGCACTCCTCCTGCTTTAGCCTCTCAAAATACTCAGATTACAGATAAGAGCCATTGTGCCCAGTTGAGAATTATGTTGTTTTAATGTAGCATTTTTCAGATACAGTGTTAGGTTAGGGAACCCAACGATCTGATTAGACCAGCTTGGCAGAGAGACCAATAAATTAAAATATCAAGATACTGTTAATTGAAAATCAGAAGCAAAGGAAAAAAATACTTAAATAAAAGATCATATTAATTTAAAATGAAATTTTGTGCTTTTACAAAACCTTTTCAGGAAAGCACATATTGTGCAAAGTGAATCCATAGCTGTATTAAAAGAAGTAGTAATGGTCATTCCAGGTTAATTTTTTTTGTGTGCTAGTTATAGATATTTAAGTTCTAATAGCATAAAGCATTTCTTTTTTCTTGGATATTATCATCCCTTGGTTTTACATGTTTTAAACTAAGCTATAAATTTAGCTTGAACAATTTTAATAACATTTCCAAAGATGTATCTCAAAAAGCAATTTAAAAGAAATACTGAGCTTTTGAAGTCAAACACAACCCCCTTTCTTACAAAAGCAGTCAACTTATTTTAGCTGAACATTTCTTTGCCCTGAAGCAGAAATTTCTCCACAGGGTAGATATTGTAATGATGGAAACCTTAGGTTAATGTGACCATTTTATACTAGTCATTTATAATCATTTGTGAATGGAATGGTAATTGACAAATGCATTTACTTTAATGTGGGCCTGGACTATAATATATATGGATCAACTTCAAGTGCTCATGCCTGTCCTCTCCATGTGGAGTACGACTGTACCTTCCCTTCCCTCCTACAGTGGTCTCTGTTGTGGATGTCTAGGCTGTGAGTTCCTCAAGATCAAAGATCACATCATGTTGTGTCTGTAGCCCCAGCATGTAGAGCAATGCAGGCAGCAGTGTGTTGTTAATAAATGTTGGTTGAATGAATACGTGATTGACTCTATGTATGTATGTCTAGTAAATGGTGTTTGCAACTGACAGCCTTTTTGAAAAAAACATTTTGAATAGTTACAAGTTTATAGGAATTTCCCCCTCCCATCTCTCAGATACAGGAAAGTCCTTATTTCCTCCCTACCAGTTTTTCTCACTGGCAGCATCTTACATGACACCGTACAGTGCCACAACCAAGAAACTGACATTGGTATAATCGATTGACCTTCTTCGGGATCACTGACTTTACATGCACTCATTTGTGTGTACTTTGTCTCAGTTCTATGCAGTTTTATCACCTGTATTAATCTGCATGGCTGTCATCAAAATCAAGATACAGATCTTGTGTATATGGGGTTCCATGCCCACAAGGCTTTCTTGTGCTACTGTTTTGTAGCTAACCCCAACCCCTCATAACAGGATTTTAATCATCCTGACCTTGTGCTTTACATTAGCTTCTGCACTAACTATGGCATGAAGGAGCTATAAGATGTTTCTGTTCATTAAGAGACAGCAGCAGCTCAAGCCTGTAATCCCAGCACTTTGGGAGGCCGAGGCGGGTGGATCACGAGGTCAACAGATCGAGACCATCTTGGTCAACATGGTGAAACCCCGTCTCTACTAAAATTACAAAAAATTAGCTGGGCACGGTGGTGCGTGCCTGTAATCCCAGCTGCTCGGGAGGCTGAGGCAGGAGAATTGCCTGAACCCAGGAGGCGGAGATTGCGGTGAGCCGAGATCGCGCCATTGCACTCCAGCCTGGGTAGCAAGAGCGAAACTCCGTCTCAAAAAAAAAAAAAAAAAAAAAAAAAAAAAGAGACAGCAGCAATGATTGTATCTGTATCCGTTCCCCAGTCCACAGATATCCCTCATCCATGATCAGTTTACACATTTTTTTAAAAAAATGTCTTAAAGTTGGCTTTCCTAGAGTAATGAATTGTCAAAATTATGATAATGGGAGTCCACTCCTATTAATCAGAACTTAGAGACCACATGTTGTGTTCATTATCCAGAAAATGCATCAAGTTGCAAATCTTAAATAGAATGCTGAAAATTGGGATCCACAGTATTAATGAGTTAAATATTGACAAGTGCATCTTAGAAAATGTTTCTGTGAGCAAAAAAATAAAATCGCAGGCTCATATGTAATGAGTTGGAGTGTTCAGCAGCATTTATCTGGCGACTATGCATGTCTTGTGCATAATTGAGGCTGTAAAGATGGATGCACCTGGTAGACATGGGGGATCTAAATTTGTGAGTGTGTATTGTAAGGGAATCCGTCCCTTTCAACATACAGCAGGCTTGGTTGCAGATACAGTGATCCATGTTTATGTAAGCAAGGTGGAAACTTCTGATATAGAAGGAAAAAGGCAAGGACTTATGGATGTTTTTCCTTCAGGAAATAGTTCACATTTTCGAGAAAGAAAATCTTTCATGCTCATGTCACCAAGATGAAAACAGACAACATGGTCAAGTTTACACTTGGTTTATTCATTTGTCAAAATGAGAGCTGTCTTGTCGGCATGAGATAGAAGGCACTTTTTCTACACCCTCATTCCTGTCTTATTCTTTCACATTTCATTGTGCTGGAAGATTGGATCCCAAGGAAGTTCCTTGGGAATTTCATCACTATCTTCTGTTGACTCTGCTTCTTCCTTCTCTTCCTACCCTGCCTCCTGTTCCGCTACAGGGACTTGCAAAGTGAATGTCTATGAGGACAGAAGCCAGCAAGAAAAACCTGTTTGCAAAGAAAAGCCTCCAGGCCACACTCCCCTGTCATCAGGATAGAGAAATCTTGCCACATCCTCAGGTTGGAAAACCTTCCTGGGAACACTGTGTTCCTGCTGGTGGTGTTCATGTGTTTGTGTGTGCACTGTGTGGGGATCTGGAAGCCTGTGGGTGGCCGTGGGGACCATGAGTCTGGGTGTTAGGCAAGGCCTTTAAAAATAGCTTGTTTTTCATTTTTTGGTACATACCCTCCCTGTTCTAGTTTATTAACAATGAATTTTTAACTCTTATGTTAGGTACCATGGGAAGTTAGAAAAGTCCTTCTTTAAAGAACTAAGAGTCTCTTCAGAGGATTTATCTACAAGTGAGAGAAAAGGAGAGTTACCAGAAATACAAAATAGGTCATGGAATATTTAAGTATGGAGAGGATGCATTCTTAAAATTATAGAAGTGGTTTGAGGGAAATCTATGAAGACTTAGACAGTAGATGGTGTCAGATGGTTCACAAGGAGCTGATGAATGCTGGGCCTTGCAGATGGGAGTGTGGCAGTGGCTTGCTGGTTAATGAGTGTACTGGATCAGTCAGACATCTTTGGTTCAAGTTCTTTTACCACTAGACCTGTTAATTTAAGGTGAGGTTCTTCCTTGACTATAAACTCCCATGTTACATTAAAGTTATGAATAGTAAATAAAATGCTTATGAAAAAGTAAGAAAGCTTTCTAAATTGCAAAACAATATACAGATTTGAGTGATTGCTCTCAGATTACCAGTCTTAGAAATCAAAATTTTTAAAATTTGTATACAATTTAAAACTGAAGAACATCTGAAAAGATGCTGATGTTTACCCATTTTTAAGAACATGAAGCCAGGAGCAGTGGCGCATGTCTATAATCCCAGCACTGTGGAAGGCCAAGGCAGGTGAATCACAAGATCAAAAGATTGAGACCATCCTGGCCAACATGGTAAAACTCTGTCTCTACTGAAAATAGAAAAACTAGCCAGGCGTGGTGGCATGCACCTCTAGTCCCAGCTACTTGGGAGACTGAGGCAGGAGAATCGCTTGAATCCAGGGGGCGGAAGTTGCAGAGAGCTGAGATTGTGCCACTGCACTCCAGCTTGGGTGACAGAGCGAGACTCAGGTCTTAAAAGAAAGGAGGAAGACAAATTCATGGTACAGTTGTTTGTTTTGTTCTCATTTGTTTGTTTTTAAATGTGATGTCTGAATGAAGCCAAACAAAAAATTGGTACTACACAGTTTTTTAGAAGTAATCGTTCTCTCCCAAATTTTTAGAAAAGCTGAAGAAAATCATAATCATTCTAAAAATTCATTTCTAATGGGTCAAAGGGGGAATGCATTTTTCATCCTAAAATCTGCTGTCATTTCATATTCTATTTTCTTTGAGACAATTTATCAGGCACATATTTAGATGCCAGCTCCTACAATGGGGATCAGAAATCATCATCATCCCTGCAGTGGTGCAGATAACCACGTTAATACAAATACAGTCAACTTTCTGTTTCCAAGGGCTTCTCATACAAATTCCACCAACCAAAATTGAAAATATTAAAAGACAACATAAATTTTAAAATGCAGCACAACAACTATGTGTATACCATTTGCATTGTATTAGGTATTATATGTAATCTAGATATGATTTAAAGTATACGGGAGGATGTGCATAGGTTATGTGCAAATGTTACATACTACTACTGTTTTACATAATGTACTCAAGCATCTTTGGATTTTGGTTTGTGGTGGAAGTCCTAGAACCAATACCCGCAGATACTGAGGGATGACTGTATATATGTATCACTTCAACCCAAGAGCTGCTGTTGAATAAAGGGAAAAATTCTAGGCTAACTTATAACAGGAAACTGGTGAGGCTGTGTTTCCTTGAGGAAGTAGTATTTGACTACAGATATGAGGTAAGCTATGGGATAAAAAGGCCCAGAAAGCAGATAAAAAGGCCCAGAAAGCAGAACAGGTATATGGATTGGGATAAAAATTAATTGCTAAAAATGGTGACAGTTATTAAGCCAATGTATATGATGGGCCCTTATATAGTATTCTACCTTGGAAGCTTAAGCAAATCCTCTTCTGTAGCATCTTAATACAGCAGTTTGCCTAGGCATTACGCTTTCTCCAACCTGAGATATTTTCAGAAATAATGCCCTAAGATTTCAGATGTGTCTCTCTAATACTTTGCTTCATAAAACCTGAATCAGAGTAATAGACAAAAGGTACTAAAATAAGATTTAAGTGAATATTTTTGTAAATCTGTAATAGAAAAGAACTTTCTAAAGAGGGACTCCAAATCCAGAAATCATAAGTTGGAATTTGACTTCTTAAAACACTTCTATAATAAAAGTTTTATCAGTTTAAATAGAAAACTATAAACTGGTAAAAACCATTTACAGTATATATGACAGTGAAAACATTTTTTTTATGAAGAAACCTCTTAATGTAAGTCAGCAGCTGCCCAATACAATATAAAGATTGGAAAAGATTTGAACTGGGATTTCACAAGAGAATGCATAAATGACCAGGAAACAGATGAGTTGATGTTTCATGTCACTGGTAGTCAAAGAAACAGTGCCTTTTTTTGTTTGTTTGTTTTTTTTTTTTTTTTTTTTTTTTTTTGGCTTTCAGGCTTTTTGTTTTATTTTGTTTTGCCATTAAGAAGATGGCCATATTGAAGAAACCGTAATAACTACACATGTATATGCAATGATGAAGCATGTGTGAATTTATACTTTCTGTATGCATAAACATTTATAATGTGATTACCCTATGACCCAGAAATTTAACTTCTAGGAATATATTCCAAAAATGTAATTATGAGTATGTGTAAAAATTTAGCTACAATTATGCTCATCAGATTATTATAATTAAAAGTTGTGAAGCAATCAAAATGTGTAATACAGAGATGGTTATATAAATGTAGCATTTTGATAGAAGGAACACTAAGTGGCCATTAAAAACAAGGTCCTTTTGAATTCTCTGCTACGAAAGTTTGTCCATGAAATATTGTTAAGCAAGGAAGTAGATTACAAAATAGCATTTATGGCCAGGCGCAGTGGCTCAAGCCTGTAATCCCAGCACTTTGGGAGGCTGAGACAGGTGGGTCACAAGGTCAAGAGATCGAGACCACCCTGGTCAACATGGTGAAACCCCGTCTCTACTAAAAATACAAAAAATTAACTGGGCATGGTGGCGTGTGCCTGTAATCCCAGCTACTCAGGAGGCTGAGGCAAGAGAATTGCCTGAACCCAGGAGGCGGAGGTTGTGGTGAGCCGAGATCCTGCCATTGCACTACAGCCTGGATAACAAGAGTGAAACTTCGTCTCAAAAAAAAAAAACAAAAAAACGAAAATAGCATTTATGTTAAGGATATATAGTAACATGTTAAACACTTACTTGTGTGTTAGATACTTTGCTAAATGCTTTATGTTGATTGTCTCATTTAGTTATAACATTCCTCTGAGTAAATATTATTAGTCCTATTTTATAGATTAGTTAACAAATAACAGGGGGCTAAATAACTCCAGGTCACTTCATTCAGTTGAAAATGTGGAGCAGGATTTAAGGAACAGCTTCAGAATTTGTTCATTTGTTTATGTGCATATATAATAAAAGGGGATGCACCAGATACAGTAACAATGTGTACTGTTGGCTGAAGTACTTCAAGGGATCTTAACTTTCTTATTTATACTTTTTGCATAGTCTGAGAGTTTTAGCCTGTGCTTTTCCTATGAGGAAATACAAGCAAAGGTGTTTTTATTTCTTAATGTTTTTCTTTTATGAGAAGGGCAGACAGCACTAGTTTTAATTTGTATACAGTGCATGTCAAGTTTTACTTTAAGAGGAAAAGATGGAGAAAAATGAATAGTTAGCATATGTAATTGGCATTTTTAATAACACCTATGCAACGTTTTTAGGAAATTAGTAAGTGATGTTTGTGAAGGTGGTAGCTGTTAGGGTAGATAAAAAGAAATGGAGTTTAAAGGATAAAAGCAATTGAACATTAACCACATATTTATGTTTAAAATATTACTTTTTAGAAAATTGAAATGTTAGTATAAAGGTAATTTTGTTTTTATTGATCAGCCATCCAGTACTGGCTGAATACCAAGCATTGCCAGCAGCAAAGAAGAAGTATAAGATGCAGAATTCATGGTGTAGTTGTGGAGCGGTAATCTGTATTTAAGACAGTTACATGATTAGGTGGTAAGTTACAAAGTTCAGATAAAAATACTGGGATAGGCCTGGCTCATGGGAGTGGGGTTGTATATAAGATGGGCAATGTTAAGCAATATTCATGTTTCATAAAGAAGATACATGGAGAAAGTGAGTTGAGTTGACACTGAACACTGGATAGGCAGTGACTGGAAGTAGAACCCATTCTGCAGATGAAATAGCCTGAGCGCAAGTGGCAGATGCAAGAATGAGCAGCTTGGAAATGTGCAGTTCAGAAAGGTGTTGGCTGGTTTTCCTGAAGACATAGGAATTAAAGTAAGGTGAGACTAGATAATGGAGAGCTTCCACTGTGAAGTGTTTATGTAGATGTGTAAATGTATCTAGATACATTTATTTAGATACATATAAGAACATATTTGAAGGCCTTCTACAAGGCTTAGTTATATTGGTTTACTACAAGTTCTTCTTCAGTTTCTATTAGAAATGTTAAGGAGGCTCCTATGATCAACTCTGTGCCCAACAGATTTGGAAGCTCCTACTATATATTGTGGGTTTTATTTTCACTTTTTAAACCGTATTTTTATAGTGCACTAACAGCATTCTGTGGATTTTTACGTGAAAAATGATGAACTTGATTAGTGTGAGCAGGCCTCTGCACGTTTCTGAACAGAGTTCTTAATTAAGAAACCCAGCCTTGGGTGGGGCTTTGGCCGTCATGTAGCCTATCTTCCCACCCCAGTGAAGGAATTTCTTCTGTAATAATTCCCAAAGGAGATTATTCCTAATTATTTACCTAAAATGATGAATAGAGAGAGGAAGATGAAGACCTAATTACTTGCTTAGCCCACCCAATAGAGTAGCCTATTTCATCTTTGAAATACAG